GGGTATATGCTGTAACGAACATCTCTGAATCCATCCAATATGCGGATTATCTATTATCCATTAAGTGGAAATGAGTATCGAAATAACTACATGAAAACAAAAGACCAAAAAACACCAAACGCTTGTTAAATCTCCCATACTTATGTAGCACGAAAATTGGTAGCACATTATTGTTCATAGCGTAGCCTATAATTTGCACTTTAATTCCCCAAACTATCCCACTTAAGCAATAGTAATAAAAGTATGGCCCCTTTATAATTCGCCAAATATGACCCTGATGGGGCCGAATATGTCAAACGAGCAGAGTCGAAATCCAGTCACAAGCAGATCACAAGTCAAATCACAAGTCGCAGACAGCCTGTTGGTTATTAGTAAACGGAAGTTTTGATAATATCTGACCCACAGTAATTTAGCGTGATCGGTAAGCTCTACATACTGGTTGTCCCACAAAAAAGCCTACCAGTCGAAAACAAATTAATAAAGGTATATTGCAGTGAGTTTTTGGAATATGGTTAAATTATCTTTGAAACAAACACTATGCTTCATCGAACTTAAGGGTTGAACATAAGTTTGGCCAGTTTGAATCGACTATCTGCAAAGTCCAGGTTAACGTCTTCGATAGGCCAAAAAAAAAAAGTCTCCGGTTTCTGGTATGCGCGCGCGTCGCCGTAGCCATGCGCGTCGGCAAAATGAAAAAAAGTGTTTTTTTTTCAATAAAAGATGATGTCTCAAAACCGCCAAACTCACTGGTTTGACTGGAATCCTGCTGCAGCACAATTTTAACGTGTTTTTTTTAGATGGGGTTATGATAGAGAATAAGCTTTATGTGGCCTCTGTGGACTGACTGGACTCCCATATATTTGCACTAAGTTTAGTCGGGCACCATTTTGCAGCATCAACGACATTAGAAGCAGAAAAAAATAGGTAAAAAAAAAAAGCCGCATCGCCGCACCACTTTTTGGGCAAGCTCCATACAAGAAACCGGAGACTTTTTTGGCCTTATAGGGAACGGGGCTGATTTTTGCTGATCTTAGCAACCAACGCTCAAGGGCGGATCCAGAACACAATTTTTTTTGGGGGGGGCGCCAAACAAATTTTGGTCTTCCAAAAGTGTCTCGAAAAAAGGCGGCTTGGTTTCGGGGCCCGCTTATTAAGGGCCCAGAAAAAATTGGATTCTAGATGCTCTGTGGTGCAATCTGAGGCTATTTCTAACCACTTTAACTAAATCTTTAGGAGGAATAGATGGTGGTGTACGCAGTGCCTGCCTTTGATGCGACGCCACTTTAAAAAAATTGTTTTGTTTGGGCCCCCTGGATCCGCCCTTGCCAAGGCTTATATATAATATGTGTCGCCTATGTTGTGGCCTTCGGGTTAGGTGAACAGACAATCGGCAATGGTAGAATTTGTGTGGGCCGGGAAACCCAAAAACAAAAAAGAGTCCCACGGAAGTCGGCAATAATTTCAAGTTGAATTAATAAATTCGACTCCAGTATGTTTGTCTACCGCACAATTGCTTGCTATGACTTGTGATGACTTAATCATTGATTACAACCATGCAAACTAGGGCAGGCAAAACAGCATCTGCTGACCGCGTACTTCGTCGTCGTAATAGTGACTTTCATGCGTTACGACGGCAAGAGGCTTAGCGCAATCTTTCGGGTACGGAGATATCATCAAAGATGTTTTCGTAGCAAATGGTGTATCTCCATGAGTGGTCGTAGTCCCAACTGGCTTCGGAGTAGGCGGATTCGCACCACCGATACTTTCCAGCTAGGTCGTCTGGAGATTACAGAGAAAAGAAAGAAGTTGGTTAACAATTAGCCAGCGAATTAATGTCAATAGTATGCCCATAATGCATAGGCTCGATTTTTCCTAGAGCGATTCCGGTTTCATTTTCTAAGTAGTCCATATTCCAATTCTTCTGAGGATTGCAACTTTGTCATTCTGGAAGGGTTTGTGTGTCCCCTGGATGCAAAGGGGTCCGCTCATACCTACTAAGTCCAACGCCTCATAAGTCCGACGCCTCATAAGTCCGAAATTTCGGACTCATGAATCGTCGGACTTATGAGGCAAACAATTTATTTATTCCGCCTCATAGGTCTGACGCCTCATAGCTCCGACGCCTCATAAGTCCGAAACAGCGTTTGTCCATTGTCGGACTTATGAGGCGTCGGACCTATGAGCGGAATTTATGCCTCACAAGTCCGAAATTTCGGACTTATGAGGCGTCGGACCTATGAGCGGAATTTATGCCTCATAAGTCCGAAATTTCGGACTTATGAGGCGTCGGACCTATATGAGGCGTCGGACTATACGACCCAATCCAAAGAGCGGTGTCGTCGGAAGTCTAAGTGCTACTGGCAGGGCCGCCCTAGGCATTAAGGTTGAGGGGGGAGGAACCAGACCAAAAGCAATCCAAAAAATGTAATATAAGGATACCGCCCAGTTGAAATAAAAACGAGCTGTTGTGTTTGCAAAGCAATGGGTCCTTCCAGTAGCCGCGAACTTGCTAACACATCGATTCCCCAATAAACCCAGTGTAAAGGAACCAATGCGCACTTACCTTGAGAAAAGGTCCAGTCTCTGGATTGTCTTCCTTCTTGGACACTGACCTCGAGTTGGTAAGGGTCCTTCGTGTATTCGACAACTGCAAAGAACAACCGCAATATTTACATGGGCTTTATTTTACAGAAAACTTGCAATACGGCTTCTATAAACGTTGGTGGCAATATATCCGGGTTACCAGGCCGGATTACTTAACAGGCACAGTAGGCACTGTGCATAGCATAGGGCCTACGAAAAATTTGGGGGCCTACGAAAAATTTGGGGAGGGCCTACGAAAATACCGCAGTGTGCCATAAAACATATAGGCCTTCCCACACACACCCACACGCGCAGATAAAAGTTTTAAGAAAGTTTAAGGGTCTCTCTCGGAATTTTCGATTTCACCAACTGACGCTGTACAGCATGTATGCGTATAAAATGTACGTGTAAAGGCTGTCGTTCAGAAGCACGGTGCCAACCATGGGCGTCAATCGGTGGGGAACGGGGTGACTGATATCGTTCCCAACGATTTGCGTCCCTGAATAAAAATATGTAACCTACATTTGATTCTATAGCTCGGAACAGCTGATTTAATGACTCCAAACTCGAAAAAGATGTTTAAATGATGATCTTGTGCCAAAATGCAGTCGTCAGAAATTGCCTCGGATCGCACCACAGGGCGCCTAGAATCCATTTTTTTCAGGGCCCTTAAGCGGGCCCCGAACCCCGCGCCGTTTAGGCTTCTCACTCGAACAATTACTCAAAAAACTGTAGTGTTAATTTAACACCATTCGGTATTTATATGTGACAACACCAGTAAAATTTAACACCAGATGGTCCTATATAGATACTAATGGTGTAAATTTAACACCATAGTTTTTGCAGTGTAGTACCGATCAAGATACACATGTTTTATGTACCACCCCACTTTGAAAAACATATGACGCCCTCGAGAATTGGAGCCAACAGGCTTTTAGAGCTAGGACCAATACCAGTTTGGCCTGGCTTGTTTGAATTATACAGCCCCCCCCCCCAACAAAAGTGCGCTCTGGATCCGTCTTTGTACCCCCACTCCCAATATCTATAGCCACATATTTTTATTATGTAGTTTTTGAGACAGGGACATTTTCCGGTTCGCGCATTAACAAGATTGTGAATCTTCTCGAGATGGAAAACCATCCCTCGAAAACACAGGTGTTAGTAAAAATTATACTCGCTTGTTAAGCACACAATGCGATCCCAATTTAGATCGTTCAGTCGCCAAAGGTTCATGCATTTGCTTAGTTTCATCTCAAATGCCTTTTTATGACCATAGACTTGAGTCAAGGCGTATGGCAACCCGGACACGAAAAAAAGACCATGCGAGTGGCAGGCTCGTTGAATTGGCTCAGTGCGCCATCATCAGGGGCGTAATTCCCGGGGTGTGGGTGAGGTGATACCCCCACACTTTTTGACCGCGGGGATGGGCTATTGAATCATTCCCCACTTTTTCCTGATGAGGAAACAATGAGGATTTTGAGGTATTTTCCGAACGTCCAAGTAATAAAATGTATACAATAGTACTGGAAAGTGGAGAAACAAAGTACAAAAAGCTTTCAAAAATGTAAGCGCGAGTATACATAATTGATAACGAGTGCCCAGTATTATGTGGTGTCCAGCCCCCCCCCCCTTTCGAAAGCCCACGGCCGGGCAATTCGGGCGTTTCATGTGCCACCAAGAGTTTGCCACGGAAAGTTAGTTTTTCCTAGTGCATTGTGGGTGTGGGAGATGGTCGACAATTTGCAGCGCGGGACATTTGAAATTATTAGTTTTTCGGTCAGTAGTTTCGTAAGCGTATGATTCAAGTATAAATTTGCCTTTTTTTCCCTATGTACCAATATGGTGTTTTTAGTAAGGCGGCCAGAACGCTATACCCGAATTTATAACCACTTAGCTTAAGTAACTTAAGGCCAAAAAAGGTCTCCAGTTTCTGGTATGCACGCGCGTCGCCGTAGCCATGCGCGTCGGCAAAATGAAAACGTTTTTTTTCAATGAAAGATGATGTCTCAAAACCGCCAAACTCACTGGTTTGACTGGAATCCTGCTGCTGCACAATTTTAACGTGTTTTTAGATGGGGTTACGATAGAGAATAAGCTTAATGTGGCCTCTCTGGACTCCCATTTGCACTAAGTTTAGTCGGACACCATTTTGCAGTCATCAACCGACATTTGAAGCAAAAAAAATCAGGTAAAAAAGCCGCGTCGCCGCACCACTTTTTGGGCAAGCTCTATACCAGAAACCGGATACTTTTTTGGCCTTATATGACACTCATTCAAATCGGCTTTGTTTGTCGACCGTAATTCCAAAAACTGACTCTCCATGGCAAACATTTGGTGGCGCATTGCGTTGTGAATAGCCAGAATGTTATGATTTTGGTCATCCCCCATCCCCCACCACTCGCAAGCACAGATATACGCCACTGGCCGTCATTGCCCCCGCGTGGTCACGATTAATCATGCCACCGACTGACGTTAATGTGACATTGTATTATAATGGCATCATTCCCTAGACTAAGCGTAAGTACAAGAAAAGATGAAGTTTCCCAAGCTAGCTAAGGGACTGAAATAGAATCAGACTACCAAAAATCCCTTGTAAAAATTTGTAAACGGGTTAGTAGTTTGATATAAATATAATTAGGTTGGGGAAACTTGCTAGAATTTCTCTCAATCATAGTGACATGTCAGTGCCAGCCAAAAGACACGCGACGCGAAATAATAATTGATGAGACAGAATAAGAACGAGCTTGGTAAGGTTAATTGCTCGTAGTGACTGAATAGTCAACTGCTCGGTACATAAGAATGATTGCAGAAAAGAGTTACGTAACAGCATTCATGTATATAGCACGATGCCGATGCATCTTTCGTGCAGCTATGAAACACAAAGTAACCCTCCCACTGCGGAAATAACGATTATGTTTTTATACGCAAAGAGAAAAGTACTTACTGAAACAGCCTAGTTGTTAAGCTGTCAGACAACGGACCCAGGGTTAGGGGTTCGAACCTGCTTGGTGTCATTTTTTTGGTTTTCGATGCCCGCGGTTCTGTCATTTAAGAGTGTTAATTTCCCGTCGTCATTTACCAACTGCAGTTAGCTCGGTCGGTCGGTAAGCTGACTCACAAGTTGGGACTGTCTGCGAAGTCCAGGTTGGCATCTGCGTATAGGTACGGGGTTCTTTTGCTGACTCGGCAGCAAGGCTTAGGGTGCCACCTCGTTTTCCCCCTTTATGGTGCCTGACTTTCGAGGTACATGGATGGACAGGGAAGGAGGTGTGGTGTACCGAGTCCCGGAAGAGTTCTATATGGAAGTCCGACTCCTGAAGACTTGGCCATCGCCACATAACTTTTTGTTTTATTTTATTTCCTTTCTTTCGGAGGACAATATTGCAAGAATGATCAATTTGTTATATTGAGAGCTTGTACTGTAATCGTTCGAAATTAATGTTTAAAATTGCTCGAAAATACAAAATTCAATCCAGCTAAAATATTGTTTATTTCATTATCGCACAACTGCATGTTCATGCTTAGTACCTTTGCGCATACTTTGTTCTGGCCTGTTACCTTTAGTGGATTTTTTTTAAAATCACTCTACAGGGTGACTAGAAAAAAAACGAAACCCAAATGGCAGGACCAATTTTTTAATGCAGTTTTGCTTGTAGCACTTTTAAAATCTAGGATATGAAAGCCCAATCAATAAACTTTCTGTTAGTACAAGAATAACTAAAATCTCATGTACTTTTCACGTTACAGAATTCGGAACACAAACACCGTTTTAACGTTCTGTCCACGGATCACAAAAAAAGTTAAGCATTCTTCCAGCAAAACCAAAACAATTCACATGCATCCCTATAAAAATTGCGTTCGTTTGCTGAAAAAACACCGGTGTTACCTTTTTTTGTGATCCATGGACAGAACTTTTAAACGGTGTTTGTATTCAAAACTCTTGAAAAAAAAACTCGAAAAATTACACGAGTGATTTCAATGATTCTTATTTTAAATGAAAGCTTATTGATTGGGTTTTCATATCCTAGATTTTGAATGTGCTACAGGCAACTTGAACTTCATTCAAAAATTGTTTCTGCCATTTTGGTTTCATTTGGTTGTACTCACCCGTTACACGGACAGATTTAAGTTGCCCGAGGCTTAATTAACGTCTCTATGAGTTACGTACCTGTTAAGAATTCCTGTCCAAAGAGGGGAATTATGACACAGTGTTGACACACATCCTCAGCGTCGTTGCATGTCATATTGATGCGACTGAATCCCTGATTGGCGGTGGGAAAATCAAAGAAAGGGAATGTAACTTTCTTTTGTTGGGACTTTATACGTTAGACAATATGCGGCAGGAGAATACATGTACAGGGTGAGTCAAAAACAGAGGAACCCAAACCCCCAAAATATGTTTCATATTAAAAAAAAAAAAAAAATGAAGCACCAAAAATAGTAATGACTGGAAAGCCAATTTCATAAGCTACTTGTAGATGAAAAAATACTGAAATTATTTAATCCGTTCAAATAATATCACCATTTAAACGCAATAAACATAAAACCTGTTTCGTCCCAAAAAAAGGAGCAATTTATTGTGTATTCTGACTATTTGGAACAACAAAGAAAACTTGTTTCAACAACTGTCAACAACTGTAGTACACAATATCTTTATTAATGACCCTTGTTAGGCAAAACATATTATTTTAAAATCCACTTTATTAAAAGACGGACCTTTAAAAAGACTCTGTGTAATATTTTTTTACTTTTCAACTGAGGTTTTATCGCTGGTGATGTTTGAAGACAATTTGGACGACGATTCTTGAAATCGCTTTTTTTGACGAAAGAGGTTTAAGGGTCATTGTGTTTAAATGGTGATATTCTTTGAACGTATGGAGCAATTTCAGTCATTTTTCATCTAAAAGTAGCTTATGAAATTGGCTTTCCAGTCAGTATTATTTTCGGTGCTACATATTTTCTTTTAAATATGAAATATAGTTTTGGGGGTTTGGTTTCCGCTTTTTTTGACTCACCCTGTAGTTACCATTTTTGCTTTTGATGAATCGCTTTCTTCGGCATTCCAGTTACTCTCCACTCTACTGACGACAAGCATCAGACATGCAAGCAGGATTTGGAGCATTTTGGCGACTGATCGGTTTAACAGCTCTGGCCAAATTGTATGTGAAACCTGAGGACCATGCACCGATGTGTATCGTATAAATGCTGTTTATTAATAACTCAATAATTTATGAGTCGGTTTTGTTTTTGCATTAATATGCAAATGTAAACGTCTTTTATTATATTTGTCGAATAAGCAATAGCTTTCGAGTAATTAAATGCCATTCAAGGTAATACATCTTTAAATGCCAGGTACTTTGTTCTTCAGTTCCAATGAACTGTTTTATGTTAATATAATAATAATTTGGGAGGCTAATCATCCTTACTCGCAGCTGGTATGCTGAATTATGCTGGTATGCTACAACGTGGTCGGGCCGCTGGCACGTAAAGGCGCCTATGGCTGCCGACCACATCGCACAAGCCACCCATGCCACCCAAAGTGCAAGAGGTGCAGCGGTGGGCATATACTCGAACCGAGAAACATACTACACCAGAATATCCTACATATTAAAGTTTGTCATACAATTAAGCGCTGTCAGATGTAGGGCGCCTTCGCTCGTACCCCCCCCCCCTCCTGCAAACAGGACGCTGGGAAGGGCTGATTTCTTCGAGCTCTCATGGGATAGATTTTGCGTGACCTGTGACGTAGCATGCAGCGCTGCTGATGAGATACCCATAATGCCATGCGTACTTCTTACACAAGATTCTGTGAAGCGGCATCAGCCCTTCCTAATGTCAGAAAAAAAGTTGCCGATTACATTTCACTATAGCCCCTAAAGCGATCTCCGTGTGAGATGCATATTGTCCATCATGTTTCCAGTGGAATAAGCTAGCTGTACTGCACAAATTGTGACTTCAGTTTTTTTTTCTCTATAGGATTCAGAATATTTACTTACCCGAAATTATATTACAGTGTTTGAAATTACCCGGTCTGAAATGTCCCGGTCTTCAATTTCCACACTGGTGTAAAAATATGACCGAGTAATAATTATTAATAAAATGATTTATAAACCTACTGACAAAGTCAGTGAACTAGCACACCATTTACAAGCGTGCATGTAGGGCAAACTTCTGTAGGATATTATTATTATATTAGTGAGTGCTGCAATCAGAACCGTGATTGGTCAAAACATCAGGCCCGGATTAGGTGTTTCGTAGGCTCTAGGCACCAGTGTTCCGTAGGCCGCTACTCCGCTCTAGCCACCGGCACCAAATTCAAGGTACAACGCACTGTACAAATCAGGCCAGGACCCGGGTCCTAGCTCTAAAAGCCTGTTGGCACCAAGGGCGTCAATTGCTTCTCAAAAGTGGAGGTGGCACTGTCTCTTGATCAGAACTAATGCGAGTGCGAAGCCTAAACGGCGTGGGGTTGGGGGCCCGCTGAAGAGCCCTGAAAAACCCTTGGATTCTAGACACTCTGTGGTGACATCTGAGACAATTATGACCACTTTAACCAACTTTTGTTTAGCAAAAGAACATCATCATTTTCGAGTTTGGAGTACTTAAAACCAGCTGAGCTATAGAATCAAAATATGAAGTTTACAATGTTTTATTCGGGGACGAAAATAGCTTGAAGACGACGACATGCCCCTCCGTCCCCCACCAATCGACGCCCATGGTTGGCACCGTGCTTCAGAAGCACAGACTTTACACGTACATTGTATACGTAGGTCATGTATGCTTACGTGATGTACATTTTACGGCGCCGCGCCAGTTGGTGAAATCGTTTTTTAAAACTGTGGGTGTGGGTGTGTGTGAACGTATAAACACTGCCTTATATGGGGTACCGGAACAATGGAAGGTACCCCACAAGGAATGCCCACCGACTTGCGGGGTACCATTTTGGTACCCACAAGTTTTTCACGAAATAGATATATGGATTTTACTCAAAAACTAGGAATTTCCAAGGTGGGTTGATTGGTCGCTAATGGAAGAGTTTTAGAAAAGGGATATTAAGTCCGAATTTCAGCCCAGGAAATTAATTCTGGTTAAAATAAGAGCATTTTGAAATTAGTGTGCGACATTTCAAAATTTTAGTACACGAGAACAAAGGAAGTACCCCACTTCTATGCCTGTGTAAGCGTGGGTGCGGGTATATATAGGCCTATAATTAATTTTATGGCACATTGCGGTATTTTCGTAGGCTCCCGAATTTTTCGTAGGCCCCGGATATTTTCGTAGGCCCTAGACACAGTGCCTACTCTGTGTCTATTGGATAATCCGGGCCTGCAAAACATCATGGGCGTGGCTTGACTGAGGGAGCGGTCTATTTCCCAATGGGACATAAACAATAATGTGCCTACACGCGTACTGTTTTGTCGCAGTGCAAGTACAGTGTGAGTATAAAAAATGAAACACAAATGGCAGGACCAATATTAATTAAGTTCTGCATGTAGCACTTTCTAAATGTAGGATATCAAAGCCCAATCAATAAGCTTTCGTTTAGTACAAGAATCATTCAAAACACGTATGTGTACCTTTCATGTTATATACAGAATGTTGAACACAAAAACCGTTTTAAGGTTATTTCCAAGGATCACAAAAAGGTAAATGTTCTTTCATCAGCAAAACGAAAAAAATCACATAGGGATGTGTGTGAATTGTTTTCGTTTTGCTGAAAGAACACTTACCTTTTTTTGTGATCCGTGCATGGACAGAAGTTTAAAACAGTGTTAAAATTCTGTAACTTATATATGTTCCTGACCTTGGGTTTTCTTTACCGAAAGACTCTTATTGGCATGTATGTTTAGCTATCCACGATATGAATCACTAAATCATTGCAATACTAAATCTTTTGAATAAGATTATGGTAATTTGCTTTAAAAAAACCCAATAAAGTACAATGGACTAGGAAACAAATTCATAACTCTGTATAATTATCGCAGTGAATTATGCAATTTCCCTTCAATTATTGTATTAGAATGTACAAGTAACTTCCAGATTAACACAGGGTATTCACGGACAAGCTACGCTGATATAGCCCTTAAATCACAAATAATTAATGCCAGTAATTCTTTATAAAAAATTCAAGCTGGCCCAGCATTTATACGGTACACATCGGTGTTAGGTGCTCAGTTTTCATATGGCCAGACTTGTTATCTACTGATCAGTCGCCAAAATGCTCCGAATCCTGTTTTCATGTCTGATGCTTATCAGTCGAGTGGAGAGTAACTGGGAAGCTAAAAACAGTAACCAATCTGGTGCAAATCTGGTAACTATTCTAGAGTGGTACCTCGTTTAACTTGAAATAGGTCTATAACTTGAAGAAAGTTACATCTCATATACATTTGTTTCTATCCTCAAATCAGGGATTCAGTCTCATCAATATGAAATGCAACGACGCTATGGATTTGTGTCAACACTATTTTATTCTGCCCCTCTATAGTCACAAGGTCTTAGCAGGTAAGTGACACCGATGCTCAATATGGTAAACATCAGACCTGATAGGGCAACAGGGAATCTGTCCATGGTTTTGATACTGTGAATTGTTGGATCGGTAACAGGCTTTGAGATGAAATTAACCTAAGCTATACTGCCGTGATCAAGATGTGACCAACAGTGGCGATGTTACTTACAGTAATTGTTCAAGCGTGCTGTTTCATTGTCATTTACTCTAAGAATGACCACATTTCAATAACCATTTTTGTTTAAAGCTGTGTCTTTGCCATTTTAAATTGGCCATCAAATTGATTAAATAATTATTGAGCTGGTGAATGATCATAATCCCAGCTTGACAAGTAAGTAACAAAATGACGCCTAGGTTCAAAGGGATAAGCGAGTGTGGTGTGAACAATATGAAGTCAAATGTGCCTATGGCTAATACGTGAAATATCTAAATGTATAAGCCGCCAACAAGCGTCTCAAAACGCCCTTGTGCATAATTGTTTAACGTTAAGCTCACGCATGTACATACTGCGATTATCATTTGCAGTTTTCGAATACACGAAGAACCCTTACAAACTCCAGGTCGGTGTTCGAGAAGGGATACAAAGCAGAGACTGGAGATTTTTCCAGGGTAAGTGCAGATTGGTTCCTTTACATTGACTTTGCTAAAAGACAGGCCTGCGTGGCAGGCTGTATTTGGATGGATCACAAAAAAGACCTGTGCAACCTCAACTGTAACGACCTGACTGCAGTGGTGTAGCCAGGAATTTTTCTGTGGTGGGGGGGGGGGGGGGGTGGGGGGCGTCATGTAGGGGCGTCAATCGCTTCTCAAAAGTGGGGGGGGGGACATACCTTGATCAGAACTGATGCGAGCGCGAAGCGCGAAGCCCTTACGGCGTGGGGGTTCGGGGCCCGCTTAAGGGCCCGGAAAAAAAAATTGGATTCTAGATGTTCTGTGGTGTGATCTGAAGCAATTTCTTACCACTTTCCTCCATGCTTTAACTAATGTTTTCTTAGCAAAAGATAATTATTTGAACATTGTTTTCGAGGTTCGAGTCATTGAATCAGCTACCAGAATTCTGAGCTATAGACGTGGGGTTCGGGGCCCGCTTAAGGGCCCCGAAAAATTTTGGATTCTAAATGCTCTGTGGTGCTATCTGAGGCAATTTCTGACCACTTTAACCAATATTTTCTAAGCAAAAGATACGTTGTAGTACATAATAGGGCCCTGTAAATGAGACACGAGTTCAAAAATCTGGGGGGGGACATTTGATATTGTGTCCCCCACCCTTCAAAAAGTGGGGGGGGGGGGGGACCAGTCCCCTGTCCCCCCAGGATTGACGCCCATGGCGTCATGTAGATCAATGATAATTTTTTTAGAAACTCAAAATCTCAGTGGGGGGGGGGGCGACTGGGGGGCGACAAGGTTTCATGGGGGGCTGTAGCCCCCCCCCCCAGGCCCCCCCCCCCCCCCCCCCCGTGGCTACGCTACTGATTTCAAGGAATTTTAATTGGTCTATTATTATTATTTTAGCTTATATGAATGGAGGAAAAAGTTTGTGCGTGGCCGATTCGCGTGATATCGCTGACTGAAACTGTGTGACCCACGGACCACCTGTCTATAATACGTGTTCCGTGGTGTGAGCGAGCAGTG